AATAAATCAAAAAATTAGCCTGGCGTGGTAGCATGCACCTGTAGTTCCAGCTACTTGGAAGGCTGAGGCGGAAGGATCGCTGGAGCCCAGCAGGTCGAGGTTGCAGTCGCCGGGAGCGGCCACTGCACTCCAGTCTGGGCGACAGAATGAGACTCCAACTCAAAAAATAAATAAATAAATAAAAATAAAAAGGAATAATGGTCAAAGCTAAGTACCACCCAGGTGGAGAAAACTTCTAAAAGCAGTGAGAGAGATGAGGAACAATCTACAAATGTGAGTGCACACTCTCCCACTTTTCTATAAAGCCAGAACATGAGATAAAACAAGCTCTTCTGACCAGCATAAAAACTGACCTGCATAGTGAAGAGACATGCTTTACAATGGAGAAAATACATGCAATCTGCTTCTGACAAGGGCTTAATGTCCAAAACATAGGAGGGACTCAAATAAATCAAGAGCAAACCCCCCAAATTACCAAGTTATATGCAAAAGACCTGAATAGACATTTCTCAGAACAAGACAAACATGATTAACAAGTGTAGACATAAATGCTCAATATCACTAATCATCAGGAGAAGTAAAACAAAACCCCAAAGAGATATCACTTTACCCCAATTAGAATGGCCACCATCAAAAAGAAAAGATAACAAGTATTGGCAAGCATGTGGCAGAACCAAACCAAACCAAACCAAACAAGCCCCACTGTTGTTGTGAATGAAAATTATATGGCCATTGTGAAGACATAAATATGGAGGTTTCTCAGACTAAAAATAGAACTAGCCTGTAATGCCACAACCCAGTCCTGGCCATACATCCAAAAGAAATAAAATCAGTATGTCAAAGAGGATCCGCACTCCCATGCTTATCAGAGCAGTGACAACAACCAAGACATGAAATCAATCTTAGTGTCCATCAAGGGATAAACAGATAAAGACAATGTGATATATAAACACAGTGGAATACTATTCATAAAGGGAATGAAATTCTGTCATTAAACAATGTAAGTGGGCCTGGAGAACATTATGTAAGTAAAATAAGGCAGGCACAGAAAGACAAATACCACATTATTTCACTCAAATGTAGAGTCTAAACAGTAATGATGACTGTTAGATAATAGCATGTATTAATATGCTACATTTAACCATTCCACAATCTATATGTACTTCCAAACTTCACATTTTACACAAAATCATACAATGTTACAGTCAATTAAAAATACATTTTAAAAGCATGGTTAGAAAAGTTATAATTCAAGTTAGAATTTGATAAGAAGCTAAATATCTTTATGAATAAGTATAATTAAAATATTTTCAAAAGTAATAACACTGAGAGGCTTGATTGTTTATAGGAGCCACATAAAGGTACACTTGAAAAAATAAATGCTATCCTGTATGAAGGCGAAGTAAATATGAAGGAGCGAGAGACATATCTTGGCAATAAATCACGGTGGACATTAAACTGAGGGTATCACACAGTCTTTGGCAAATTTAGAAGTATTTGGATGTTATGAAAATGCAATTGCACATGTTTTATGTAAGTCAGATAGCAAATTCTGTGTTTCTTGTCATTTAATTAATGAAGGAAGGATAATTTTTTAAAAAGAAAATTCCATCAGTAACTTGTTAAAAATAGCACTTCAACTAAAACTTTTGCAGAATAGTGATGATTCTTTTATCAGATCTGATCAGTAGCAAAGGACTGACAGTAGCATAGACATTGACGACAAACCTGTAGACACTGAAAATGACAGGGCCAAATACCCATAACATGGATGTGGAGGATGAGAGAATAATTTCCAGCGAGTACATGAAAACAAAGCAACTCACCAGCAGCAGGATGCTCTGGGTGGCCCTTTTCTCTGGGGAGGCCCTTGTGGAGAAACTGGTGCTGTGGAGGTATTGGAGCCTCCTCTGGTGACGGCACAATAGGATCACCATGTATGCACTTGAGAGCAGCATAAGTCCTACAAAGGTGATATCCCTTGATAACGACAGAGTGAGAAACAGTCCCCTGAGGATGACATTCATGGGGGACAGTGAGCAGTATTTACTGATATTCAGTAGGTTTTTCTGGGTTGTGTTGGAATAAGCTACAGCATAGATGATCATGTCACTACTGAAAGACAAATTGATGGACCAAAAAAACCCAAACAACCCCAGGATTCTGTAATGTGTGAATTTATGTTTAAATTTTGCCATCCAGGAGGTGCTGGGGCTGATGGTGATGACCTGGAGTATACTCAAGAGACAGGTGGTGCAGATGGAGAGGCCCCTCATCACCTTTTGCGTGTAGAACAAAGCCTTGCATTTGAAGTCATTTAGAAAATTCAGTGACTGAAACATGTCTGGAAAGAAAAATTCCACTGGAATGAGGAGCATCACTATGTGGACAAAGGCCAAGTGACAGGTGATCAGGTCATGGAGCTTAGTCTTGTGATCCAGAAGGATTGTGGAGATGTAAAAGAGGAGAACAAAGGTGTTGGCTGAAATGCCAATGCCAGCTTCGGGGTGGCGGGGGCAGGGGGGAGGGAAGGCATTTTTAAAAGACAGTATAAGTGGAAAGTGTGTTCATCTTAATGGCATGGAAGAAACATACTTTGTATATCTGAATAAAATAGATCTTACATCATCCATGTTCTTTTTTTCAATCTTTAAAATCATTGCCACCATCTTTATTTTTAGTTTATTCACTTATTCTTGATTAACCCAATCATATATAAATTCTTGGTAATGTACCTCCTACATTATTTTTCAAATCAAATATGTAAATATGTTATATATATATTTAATTTATATATGTATGTATATCACATACACACATATATATATGCATATGGTATGTATATACACATACACATGTACATAAAATAAACACATTTACAATTATGCCTGTATAAGCTGCACACTATTATTTCTAATGCATCCTGGCCTACCTTTTTAGAAATCATATTGTTCTATGTTTCTCATTGAATATTTAGTTCCCAAAAATGTGACAGTCAAATAAAATAAATGGTATTTGCACAGTTTAATTGAATAAAATTTATGCTATTTTGGAAATATTCACTAAAACAAACAACTAAAAATATACAATTGAGTATTTCTCATAGCCCATTACTTTGATACAGTTTATTCTGTATTTCTTTTCTGTGGTTTATGACCCCTATGATTCTACTGGACTCATCATGATAATTCATAATAATATTTTTATTTTTCATCAGCAGATTATCAGTTTAATCTCATGTTTAGCTTTTTATTCTCTTTGCCATGAATTGTAATGTATTTCCAATATCAGGAAATTAGCACATCAGTATTTTTTTTTTTTTTTTGGTGGTGGGGACAATATTCTGCTTACCCAAACCCAAATTAATTATATCACCTAAAAATGGTCCTGACTCTCTCCCAGTTTCGTTTTTATCCTAGGGGTATTTTATGTGAACTCCCTTTATCTCAGGACAAAATTGTTAATGTTTGCCTGCCAGTTATCAGGAGGATAGATGCTACTTTTAATCAATTTATTTCAACCATGAGCCTGCATCAAAATAGTCATATGATTCTTTTCCTGAGACTTCACTTGATACAGAGATATTTTACCGTGCCTAGAAAATATTCAGTCTCCATAAGAAAGATAATTTCTCTGAAGTTATTTTGCTATATCATGAATAACTTGCAAAATTTCACAGAACAATTTTGAAGTTATAAATTCATGTTATTTGGCCAGGATTCAGACATTATTATTTTATCACTTTAATGAAAGACGAAGAACCGTTTAGCTTAATGACATGAAGAAAAATGTAAAACCACTAAATTCATTCAGATTCTTCTGAATGGAAGTGTGTCCAATGATAATATTCAAGGTCACTTATCATTATACTGCCCCACAAAAAAATGTAAGTCAGTGAAAAAATATTGACATTTAGCATTCTTGGCTTATAATAAAAAATTAAAGACTGAGAAAGAAAATTGCTCTAAAAACACCTGGTATATTTGATTTTATGAAGGAAACATCACATAGTTAAATAATTATTGCTCTGTCTAAAAAAAGCTTAATCTAATAAAGGAAAGTGTTTATCTTAACTGTCAAGACCAAAACAGTGGAAAATTCCCACCAGCATGCAACTGCACAGCAGGGTTTTGCTGTCCAATTGTAACCAGAAGAAGAGCCAGGACAACATTGAATTAAGGACTTAATCGTCTCCAAATTTTAAGAATCATACTCCAGTGCCAGAAATAAATATATTTGGATGAGGACTAACAATATATGTATAAATATTTATTAACTATATAATCTATATAATTGTATTCATATAATCTATATAGTATGAGTCATACATCAAAGAAAACAAGAAAATGATTGTGACATACATAGAAATTTCAATATTTTATATTTTCTCCCCAAGCTTATGCTCTGTGAATTAATGACCTTCATTCTGTAAGTGACAATGACATACTCAGAAAGACTTGAATATGTGACATTATGAATCATCAAATGGTGTATTTCTCCAGTGAGGTTCTTGAGGGCATTTGGTGCTGAGCCTGGACGAGAAAGTATCTTGTGTCTCATGGATTAGAGTGAAGAAATAGATTGTGATTACGTAGATATCTTCTGAAATTTATCTCAACTACCAGAACTAAACAAGTGATAATTGCCTTAAACATATTGCAAAAGTCATCTTCATCCAAATTTTAAACAACCATGTTCTGAATTCTTATTTAATGAGTTTGCAACTCCACTTTGGAAGACTCATGGTGTTTACAATAAATGGTGCCAAATTGGAAGAAACAAAATAGATAAAAATCCACTGAGGAAATGTTTAAGTTGGTCAGAATGCAAAGAAAAATTGAGTCCTATGTGACACAGTCAAAAGTTAAAAATCTGAATGCACACCTCAGCTCCCACTGTCAGAAGTGACAATCAAGAGGTGCTGGGGCTGAGGGTGGCACTCGTGAGCACTCTCAGTGAACAGGCAACTTCAACCAAGTACACTCTCATTACACTGACTCTCTCTCAGGCTGTTCTCAATATTGTGAGCCCCAAACTGTATACTTAGTCATGGAAAATGGGAAGAGGAAGATAACACCATTAAACAGACCAGGAACAAAGACTCCTCACAAAGTGCATAAGCTTAGATGAGATGCCTGAAGCAAAAATCAAGAGTGTACAAGTTTTATGAATGATATTATTTGAATAGTAAAGTTTGCACTCTGCCTTTTGTAGATTTAAACATATAATCTGTATAAGCTTGTAGCATGTTTTTATTATTATATTAATCAAAAGTGTCATTTTTATTACACATTCATTGAGAAGCCTTGTAAGACTGATGACTCACATTAACAGAAAAAAATGATTTTGAGACTTGCAGGTGCCAAGTTGAGGTGTTTGACTGATAAGTAGCAATAGGTGGCAACCTGAGAAACCCAGCAGTCACATTTAGGGGGAGAAAAACAACATATTCTCACCAAGATCAGCTTTATGAAAAGATTTTTATAAAATACACAACGGCTAGAAAAGGCAAATATGATAAGCAACAGATGCCATTGAACGACTGCAACATTTATCCTTCTTTGGAAGTTGAAATTAGTGTAGGTGCAGCTAGGAACACAGTGCTTGCTGACAAGGATATTTACAATTTCCAGTCATTCCCAGACATTTAATTCCAACTACCATGCAGGAAAGCATAGATAGGAAAAGCATTATTTTAAATGTGTGAGACAGAAAAATGCTGGAGGGACTTGACCATGAATTTTGTGCTACCAATTTTGGAAAAAGCTTAATAATCCTGTTGTCAGTGTTTTTTCCTGATAATTTCAACCAAGAAGATATCAGTGAAGTGAAACACTCCTTTATTCTAAAAAGCTGAAAACTCTTACACAATGATGTCCCTGTAAATCACAGTAGCGATGATAAGAGTCTTACCAACTGTGTCAAATATTAAATTGAAGGGGATATTTCCAAGTTGTATCTTGCAATTTGGAGAACTGCATCCTCTGTTTCCCATTGTTTGCTATGAGCAGTCGAGATTCTTTCTCCTTAAAAACATGGAATGCAGACATTTAAAGCAATTAGAAAAGCTTAGTTTTTTTCCCCTAATCTCAAGAGACATCTTTGCTGTGCACCATCGAGTGGTCCTGAAGGCTTGGGATCCTTATGAACCACAAGGGAACAGCCATTTTCATCATTGTTTCCCTTTCTGCTTCAACTTCATCTTCTTTCTTTCCCTCTGGCTTATATGTTAAAAATACAGATAACAGAAAATATTATCCCTACTGAATTCAGACAAAATTAACTTGTAAATTTTAATAACAAAATTGAAATATACTTGCCACATTTGTGAATTTTTTTTTTCAATAAGTAAAATACAAATATGTAACTTTCAGAGGAAAATGTAGGGATATAAAATTTAGAGAACTTTGTATAATAAGGGAATGCTATCTCTTTCAAATTTTGCAAATCATCATTATCTCATTACTAAAAATGTTACCAAAATGAATGCAGAACAGTCTATAAGTTTTAGGTGATTAATAAAAATGCTAAAACTGAATTTATTTTAAATATTTGTAGTTGTGCTTAATATTTCATGCTTCCACTATAGTAATTAACACCACAAAATTTGATAAAAGACAAAAGAAGATATATCCATACAGTTTCATAATAGTTAGAAAAAATTCTTGTATTATAAATTACTATAACAGAATGAAACAAAATTATCTTTATGGTCATCTGCTGAAAGCTAATTAATGTAAAGTATTTAAAAATAATCTCATAGTCTGAGATTGCTCTAAACATTATAAATATACTTAAATATCTCCAAATTTAAAAGAACAAAGAAGTGTGACTATGACTAAATCCTTGTGAATGTATTCAGATTTCTTGTGTTACAAACATGAAATTTTACCTATGCACATTCAGTAAGTTAAACTAAGAAAAACTAGTAAACTAATCAATGCATCCACACACAAAAAGAGAAAAACGAGTAAACTAAGAAGAAAATGCAATTGCAAATCAAATACAATGTTACAAAATTACCAAGGTACTTTCAAAACCAATATATCTATAACCTCATAAAAATTTATCTTTGCCCCTTTAACTTGGAAACCTCTATGCTATATAGTTATGATGCCCTAAGATGATGAAAAGAGAATTCTCTTAGCTCTTCATTGAGAAAATTCTGCCTCCTCCCACCGTTCACCTGAGTCCCAAGCTCTCCCTGTTGATAATACTTACAACCAAACTCTCAACCAGCCAAGTCTTCAAAGTGAGTCTACGCTTATAAGATGAGGCCCACAGTATGTGCTTATAAGAAAGAGATGCCATCAATCTCCCTCCCTCCAGGCCTAAAATTTTCATGTCAACTGCAGAAAAGGACAAGCCCTGGCCTTGTAAGTGTAAGAGAGGGAGTTCCAAGGGAAAAACGTTACTTACCTGATTCTTAGAAAATAAAACAGAAACAGCTGGATTCCAAACTTTTCCATGAGTGAGTTCATTTCCCTTGGTAACTTGGGCCCAGTGGGCTGTGTGTTCTCTGTCTTTGTAAACAAAACAATTATCTCTCGATCACTCAACTTTTAAAATGAATAGAAAACAATGTCAGATTTCCCTGCTGGTAGACCTGATTTTCTCGAATGCTCTTTAATTTTCAGGGTCAAAACTACACTATGTGCATCTCCGTGGAAATCAGAAAAATGCCACCTCTATCATACCTCTATCATGGGCAAAGTGCTCTGTCCTCCAGAGGATACAGCTCTGAGCCAGGACAGCAGACATGAGTATCACTATGGTCAGAAATGCATGCAATCCATTTGTACACTGCTGTTTTCTTCATGGCATTATCCCCATAAAGTTGGACTAACATGTCTCTGATTTCACCTCTAATCTTGTCAGGTTTAACAAGAAATTTAATGTTTATTCTTTACTCTATTTCAAACTGCGACATTCTCACGATGACAGCTCTGATGGCCATTCCAGAAAAAAAGAGTTCTAAAATGCTTTGACAGGTGGACTAAGTGCTGGTGTTGGTGCATTGTTTCCCAAGGAAAACTTTGAAGGTGACCAAAGTGATACTCAGCAATGATACTTCACATCTAAGAATGATCTCTTGGGAGTGGACACCTTATATCCAAACATTGTTTCTGCTTGGGATAGAGAAATTTTTTTGTTTTGGTTTGGTTTTTCCTCTGTAAATGCACCTGGACAAATGGTGAAAGAAGGTGGTGAAAAACAGCCTACATTTTGCTCCTATGTCTGCTGTTCTGGTGAGAGAACTGTAATAGAGTATACCATAAACTTAGGTTAAAAGCATGCTATAACCCAATAAATATGTAATTGGCTTGTGGACAATAGCACAGCCATTTTAGTTTTCTGCTTTAAAACATAACCTGTAGCTGTTTAAACTTTCAATTATGGGAAAAACTGCAAAGCTCTAGTTCAAGCTTTAACCCCTTCCCTTGACACACTTTCCCCTTAGCAACAACCAATCAGGTGCCAGGGAAAAATCACCTAAAGTTTCCAAATGTCTCTGCAACTTCCCCAGCTAGTGGGCCAAGGTTGGCCCGAGTCAAGCTAGCCAATCCTCCACCATTGAACTGACAACCAGAGGTTACTACCCAATTAAATGGTAACAAGACTGGAAAGTCCCCCTAAACTCCTCCTCCTTTTGTGTAAAAGCATAAAAGGCATCTGCTTAAGGAAGTCAGAGCCTCTGGGTGTACTCCGCTGCCTAAGTGGTCGACAGAGGTCCAGGCTCGAGCTTGCAAATAAAAACCCTCTTGAACTTTCATCGGAATTGGCTTTTGGTGGTCTCTCCGATTGAACATTCAGCCACTACACTGGCAACCCCTTCCTTAGGGTCCCCTCCCACTGTGGGAGCTTCTCTGTCCTCTCAATAAATCCTACTTTCTAAAAAAAAGAAAAAAGAAGAAAGAAAAAAGAAAGCAAACTTAGTATGTCAAAGTGGTGACTTCACTCCCACGTTTGCTGCACTGTCCACAGCAGCCAAGATGATTAATTTGCTTAGGTATTTATTTGGTTTTTTTGAGCTGGAGTCTCACTCTTGTCGCATAGACTGGAGTGCAGTGGCACGCTCACGGCCACCACAGTCTCGACCTGCTGGGCTTAGGCGATGCTTCCGCCTCAGCCTTCCAAGTAGCTGGAACTACAGAGACACATCACCATGGCTGGCCAGTTTTTTTGTGTTTTATTGTAGAGATGAGGTCTCATCAAGTTGCCCAGGCTGATCTCAAACCCCTAGGCTCAGGCAATCCTCTCACCTCAGACTCCCAAAGTGCTGGGATTACAGGCTGAGCCACCATGCCCAGCCAGGTATTTTTTTTTACGTTTACCTTTCTGACACATTATCCTGCTCAACTTTTAAAGGAATCACATCTTGTATTCAATTTTTCAGATTTGTAAATTATGAATTATTTGAACATTGCCTTTCATTCTTTTTACATAGTCTATTAAAACAAATAAATGTTATTTATTTCTTCTCAATCTAAGTTCCATGTATGTATAAATATATTTGCATTTTCTATTAATTGCTTTCTGTAAAGTATTTGACTGCATTAATTGTGCTTAGTATTCTAGTTTATAGGCTTCTAATCAGCTCAGTCTATAGGTAACTCATCTGGTGTCCATTAAATTCTTTTACTACATTTTCAATAGCTCAGTTTTCAGTTACCCCCTTTCCATATTTGGCTTGGCAAGCTTAGTTTCTCATTCTTTCCATGCTCTTTGGGTTTTCTGGTTTTTTCGCTGTGTTGACTTAAACATTTAGACACAAGCCTAATGTCTGAAGTTTATGTCATATAATTTCTTTTAACCCTTTACCTGGTAGTTTATCTCCTTTCATGCGACATAATTTGTAATCCAGTTCTTATTTTAATGCAGATAACTAAAATAATCGGGAAGTTACAAGAATCCACAGAATACCTATTATAGTTGAAAGAAAATTGGGAGAACTTCCCAGGACCAGGAGGAAGTAAAGAGGATTATAAAGAGAAATAATCAACCTAAGAAGCACATGCTCCATCTAGATATGACTATGATATCACACTCAGGATGTCACCAGTCACCAGTCAGTTTAGTTTTTTTGTTTCTTTATCCATTTGTCTTGGTGGAAGTTGAACAACCCAGTGGATCTGACATCCCGTGGATCAGTCATATCTAGTTTTGTATTTCTTCATGGTCTATTGTGATTTGTTCTTCCGCATTTCTGATTGTGATCACTTGGGCTTTTTCTCTCTTCTTCTTGGTCAATCTGGCTAGGGGTCCGTCCGTCTTGTTTATCCTTTCAAATAAACAGCCTTTTGTTTCATTGATTTTTTTCTATGATATTTTTGTCTTCTTTGTCCCGTATTTGGGCTTTTACTTTGGTGATCTGGATTCTTCTGCTGAAGTTAAGTTTTGGTGGTCTTGTCTTTCCAGCTACCTTAGGTGATTTGTCAGGCTGTTAACCTGTGAGCTTGATGTGTGTTCATAAAGAAATGAATTTCCTTCTCAGTACTGCTCTCATGGCATCCGAGAGCTTTTGGTAGACTGTGTCTTTACTTTCATTTGTTTTCAAACTCTTTTAATTTCTTCTTTGGTTTCCATGTTGACTCAGGAGGTGTTCAGCATCATGCTGCTTAGTATCCATTCCTTTGTAGGCTTTGGGCGTGCTTTGTTGGTGTTGATATTTATTTTTGTTCCACTGTGGTCTGAGAAGGTGCATGGCAGCATTTCAGTCTTATGGAATTTGTTTATGCTTGATTTATGGCTGAGGATGTGGTCAATCTTGGAGTATGTTCCATGTGATGATGAGTAGAATGTATATTCTGAGGTTGTTGGGTGAAGTGTTCTGTGAGTATCTAATAAGTCTATTTAGTCAAGCGTCAAGCTGATGCTCCAGAGCTCTTTATTGATTTTTTGCCTCAATGATCTACCTAGGGTTGTTAGTGGGGTATTTAAGTCCTCAGCTATGATAGTGCTAGAGTCAATATCATTTTATAGTTTACCTAGAAG